AAGAGGAAAAGATAGGCTGTCTCCTCTCATAAAGATTTATAGCTTTGGAAACCATCTAGGGCATTTCTGCTCTGTTGATGAGGGTCGCTATGAGTCAGAATCAACTGATGAGATGAGACAGAGATGAGGCTAGACCTACACATTTGCCTCTACTTCCCTCACCCTTTTCCTGGTACACACACCACAGTAAGGTGTTGGATTATTAAATGTGGTTCCCAGATATGGCTGATTTCTCTGGGGTTTTTACTAAGTCGTGATCAGGACTGAAGCTGTGGAAGATGGCGTAAAATGATTCTGAATTTTTTGAAAGTTCAGAATTTCACTGTGATCATTTGCCTGGGCGTGATGTTTTTGCCTCCTACGAGGAACTGCAGGTCTTTGGACTTACCTGTTTAATTTGTATGTAAATGTTCTTCTGTGAAGATTTTCTTCCTTTGTGCTCTTTCTGGAGGGAAGGCCTGCGTAACAGTAGAGTATGACTGGAAGAAATGTGAAGTTCTGTTGATGGAATTAGGACACAGTCATTTTGTAACAATGAAGGTGAAACAAAATCCATGGCACCTGAAAAGGGAAAACTTCAGATTCTCAGGAATAATGAACATTAATGGTCTTTGTCCTGCAGAAACTGCTCTGGGAACCTTCCTCCAAAAGGAAAATACCCATGCTGCCTACTACCACTCCCCCTGCACACTCCCCCAACTTTGTTTCTAAGCCACTGAGAGTGCTTTGAATTCTGCACAAACTACCCCCAGCCTTTGAAAATGAGTAGGGATGGCTCATCCCTACCATGTGCACCAGGGCATCTCTAGATGTCATCCACACCTGCCAGACAGATCATGTTGTGAGATGCAGGACTGCTTGAAATGGAAAACAGGACTCCACTGGGAGGAGACTAATGTTTCCAACTAATGGCAGTGGGAGGCCACTTAGGAGGGCTGCGTGATAATGTATGTCTGGCTTGTTGTTGTTAAGTGCCATCGAGTTAGTACCGACACATAGAGACTCTATGTACAACAGAAAGAAACACTGTCCTTAGCCAACCTCACAATTGTTGCCACACTTGAGCCCACGGATGCTAGGGGTCTTCCTCTTTTTCTCTGACCCCCCACCTTTCCAAACATGATATCCTTCTCCAGTGACTGGTCCCTCCTGACAATATGTACAAAGTATGAGAGACGAAGTTTGGCAATCCTGGCCTCCAAGAACTCTGGCTGCACTTCTTCCAACAAAGATCTGTTGATTCTTTTGGAAACCCATGGTACTTTCAATATTCTCCTCCAACACCATAACTCAAAAGCTTCAATTCTTCGGTCTTCCTTATTCACCGTCCAGCTTTCACATGCATATGAGGTTATTGAAAATACCATGGCTTGGGTCAGGTACACCTTAGTCCTCAAGCTGACATCTTTGCTCTTCAACACTTTAAAAAGGTCTTGTGCAGCAGATTTGCCTAATGAAATATCTCGTCTGATTTCTTGACTGCTGCTTCCATGAGTGTTGATAGTTGATCCAAGAAGAATGAAGTCCTTGACAACTTCAATCTTTTCTCTGTTGACAAGGATGTTGTTTATTGGTCCAGTGGTGAGGATTTTTGTTTTCTTTACATGGAGATGTAATCCATACCGAAGGCTGTGGTCTTTGATCCACCTTGGTAGTCCCTAAATCAAAACCAAACTTATCATCTAGTCGATTCTCACTCATAGCAACCCAATGAGCTACAGAGTAGAACTGCTCCATGGGGTTTTCTTAACTATATTCTTTTCAGAAGCAGATTGCCAGGTTTTCCTTGTGCAGCTCCACTGGGTGCATTTGAATTCCCAACCTTTTGTTTAGTAGCCAAGAGCAAACCTTTAGCAGAGACCTTTAGCAGTTCTAAAAGCTGCAGATTCTACTTCCAAGGATGCCATGAGTACTCCATGGGACTGTACTCCTTGTACATCTTTGCAGACAGTTTTACCTACAATGGGAGCATTACCATTAGAAAAAGGTCCAATCAAAACAGTCACTTCCCAGACAGTGTGCTGGACCAGTTAAATTCAAGGCAAAGAGATCAGCTGAAACAATGCTGACAATTGTTTTTTGGGATACCAAAGGGGTAATGTTGGTAGATTTTCCCAAAGGACACAGGACGATCTCAGAAGCTTATTAGGAAGAAGTTTCAAGAAAACTGAAAACTGCATTGGTGAGAAAAAGGCCAGGAAAGTTATACTGAGGAATTGTTTTCCGTTACAACATTGCACCTGTTCATTCTTCAAGGGTAGCAAGGGCTGTCTTAAAAGAATTTCACTGGGAAATCTTGCCCTATCCACCCGACAGCCCTGATCTTGCCCTTGCTAACTTCTATGAATATTTTTCCCCAAATCTCAAGAACATTTCAAAGGAACATGATTTGAGCCTCTCCAGGATGGCAAAAACAGCCAACTCAATGGCCCACCACCAGCACCACCAGCACCGATTAACGGTATGTTGAGAAACAAAAGCTTCATATTTTGGTGTTTTTCTCTTTTCGTCTTCTTTTTTTTTTTTTAATGTTATATTATGAATTATATGATAGTTTACATGGGAGAAGTGGCTTTACATTCATCCTGTTGTGTATCGTTTCATTGCCATGGTTACAGTCCCCTCCGTGCATCATCAACCAACCAAAGAGTATACACTACAAGCCTGCCCGTGGTTGTCAGCACACAGCCCTTCTCCCTCTCTGGGTCTACAGTCCCCAGCTGCTTCATCTCTCCATGTCATTGTCTCTGCCTCCATCTCTGGCATCACTGTTTCTCTGGGTAGGGTCCCACTCTCCGCTCTTCTCCCTTGATGGTCCCAGTGACCTTTGCTCCTGGGCTGCAAAGTCAACCACTCTTCTCCTTTTGCTACAAAACATCTACCTTTACATTTCCAACCTCACAGTCAGTCCTGATAGTGATTATTCACTGTTGTGCCACATGAGTGCTATCCCCATCTCCTTTCATTAGCCCCGCCAAGACAGATTGGATACTACTCAGTGGAGAGTCTACCTTCCTCCGTGTCCTCTGGATCTAGGCTCCCATATGAAAGCTTGTAAGCCAGTCACTTCTTGCCTTTGTAGCCCCCCCTACCCCCTTTTGTGTAGCCAATGTCCAAGTTGCCCATCCCTGTGTACTCTGTGTATGAAGGCGGTGGGAAGGATCCTCCCTGTAAAGATTTGTTCCCTCTTTTGAGCTATTGCATCCATACGTGTAGGTCAAGTTCATCAAATAGTATCAGATTACTCGTTTTTTCTCCTTTCTTCTTCTAGTTGAGTTCTGATCATCCAGCCATTGAAGCCAGGTCAAGTGGGTATTTTCTGCAAATGCGGGTGTTCTTGTGCATATGCCTTCTCTTCTTATCAGCTGGACACGTCACTCTCTAGTCCATATTTTAGGGTTTTTTTGTTTAATAAAGGGGTCTATGATTTTATAGCAATACTTTTTGACTTATTGTTCTGTTCATGGTCATTTTCTGGCTGTATGGTAGTTATCTAAACTATCCTTGTTTGTAGGGCATATACACTAATCAGGCTGAAGCAATCAAAGGTGATGAGAAACATTAGCAATTTACTGTCCAATGGTTCAGTGGGGAGATGTTCTTTGTACTAAAATTTGGCAACTGATCTTTAATTTTAAGACTGTTTTCAAAAACGTAATAAAAAAATAGAAAAAATTAAGTCAATTTCTCTATGAGAAAAGATCTATATATCAGTGGTTAATATTAAAATTATACATAAGTTTGATAGCAATACCTCCAAATATTGAAATGGATATAGCACCAATATGTAAGAATGGTATCTAAATCTTTAGGTCCAGATACAGCAATAAAAATTGGAAACTATAAAGAAGTAACCAATTATATCCACTGAAGTGCTAATGACAATTTGGTTTTAGAGTGCTGTGTAAACAGTTGGCATTTTGGGTAGTTTGAGCATGCAAAGTCTCTCAGCTGTGCAAACAGGTAATGAATGCACTCAGCTGCGAACTGTAAGATCATATCGTCTAATCCAAACAGAGACACCTCAGAAGAAAGTCCTGACTATCTACTTCTGAAAAATCAGCTACTGAAAGTCCTGAAGAGCAGAGTTCTACTTTTACACACACAGGGCTGTCAGGAATCAGAATCGAATGAAACGGCACCTGGTTGTTGTTTTTTAAGGGGGGGTTGTGTATATAAAACTCAATACTGCTGGTTTTCATTTGCAAAATCAGTTTAAAAGACATCTATAGATGCCAAAGCTATAAAGTTTCATCTTATAAAATACAATAGACAACGCTGCCAGCACTATGTGAGGCCAGATCAGGAATGGGAGAGGGGAGTGGGGTTGAAGGTGTAAATTTGGCCGACTAACGGCTGGAAGGGGTGAATACCTTTCCTGATAGCAAACCGGTGTGGAGGCAGACATTCGAAGGGAAAATGTTAGACTTTTGATGGGTTTGAGAACGGAGCCTCCTCAACAAGCCCAAGAGTGAGATGACCCCAGAGGAGCTGCAGAAGACGGAGGAGGAGGAGTTTAACACCGGGCCCCTGTTGGTGCTTACGCTGTCGGTCAAGAACAACACCCAAGTGCTCATCTCAAGAAACTGCTGGGCCCCGTCAAGGCTTTCGAAAGGCACTGCAACATGGTGCTGGAGAATGTGAAAGATGTGGACCGAAGTCCCCAAGAGTGGCAAGGGCAAGAAGAAGTCCAAGCCCGTCAACAAGGACCGCTACATCTCCAAGATGTTCCTACGTGGGGCTCTGTCATTGTGGTCTTGCGGAACCCACTCATCGCCGGCAAGTAGGGGGTGCCCAAAGCCGCCTCCCATTACACCCTGTGTTGGGAATAATAAAGTCCCTGTGGTTAAAAAAAAATACTATATAAATTTTCATCAAACATAATTTGTACAAAAATATTTTCTTTTAATAAAGATTTTCAACATGTCATACATTACATAGCAAACCATTAAAATGTATATAAATATTCTAGTAAATAAATTTTTATTATTATCTGTCAGATCATATAATTTTTCTTTAAAATTTGCACATATTCTTGCGACGTTTTCAGAAGTAAGTCTTGATTTAGATTTGACTCATCAGTGGATCCTAGAGGAGAAGCTCTACAGGATCCAGATTCAAATTCAGCAGCAGCTAGAAAGAAAAGCAAGGGGTTATATTTTCCCAAATACTTCGTAGTTAATGAAGAATAAGGCAGTTTAAATTTGAGAACTTTATCAGTGTTAGTAAAAATTTAAAAAAAAGTATGATTATAGTACAAAATACAAGATTACAATGAAATATAATTGCCTTATTTACACAGTGAATTGCTATTACGCTCAGGTATCAGGGCTTCCATTTTCTTATTCTTCCTTCACTTATTCAATAACCATGTGCTAATACACTATAATAAACACTGGAATGAGAAGATGAAAATAACAAAGCCTGTCCCTCCACAATTGTGTACTATAACCTAAAAACAAACAGATGGAGCAGACAATTTCCATATAGAATCATATGAGGGGACTTTCAAAAGTATAAGGGGGAAACGGAGGTAGACCGTGCAGACCCAGCCAGGAGTTCAAGGCTCTGTGGGCCCAAGCGTTGTTGACCGTCCAAACCATTGGCTCTGAGGATCAGACTTTAGTCACCTAGCAGACATAGCAAACTGTCCCTTATCTGATTATTCAGGTATGCTTGTTAGTAATCGCATACATGAGCCCTGGATATCCACAGATAAATGTAAAAACCTTCCCTAAAAGCCGAGACTGTAAATTCCAAAAAGGCAAAGTTTTCCCCCTTTACAAAAGCCAAAGAGGATAGAGAGAAACACTGTTGACTGATGATATATGGAGGGGATTGTAATCAATGTAATGAAACAAGTCATATGAATGGCCGAATGTGAAACTGATGATGTGCCCTGTAAACTTTCACTCAATCCACAATAAAAACCTTAAAAAATATATATATATGGGAGGACTATAAGACTCAGAGAGGGAGAGGGGCTGTGTGTTGAAAACCAGGGGGCAGGTTGATGATGCATGGAGGGGACTGTAACCATGGCAATGAAATGATATCCGATAGGATGAATGTAAAGCTAATGTTCTCCCATGTAAACTATCACATAATTCACAATAAAAGATTTTAAAAAAGAAAAAAGAAGTGTATGGGATAATTCCAGTAACTTCTAACACCATTTCCCCACAAACTTCGTGAAGGCCCTGGTATACACCATGATAGACATACAAATAGGGCACTAACACCTTTGGTTGTTTAAATGATTATATATTCCGAGTACTTTTGTGTACATTAAAAAAAAAAAGAGGGAATAGAAGCAAATACTGTTAAATGAAAAACAAACAAACAAAACAAACAAAAAAACGTTACTGGTCAATCATTCAAAATCCAAAGGGCAACATACACCTAAGGACAGGGGATGGGAAGGAGGGTGGAATGGAAACAGGAAGCACAGGGAGGAAGTGGGATAACTGTTGTTGCATGGAGGGGATGGCAATCAGTGAGATGAAACACTTTTAGGGTTTGTTGGATGTTAAACTGATGATCTTGCCTGTAAATCTTCACTAAATTCACAATATAAAGTTAAGAAGAAGGAAAGAATAAATAGGGCACTAACAGAACGCAGACCTAGTATGGTGCTGTACAGTAAATAAACACTGGACTACAAGGTCAGTTTGAACTGCAAGGTTGGCATTTCTACTCACCAGTCACTCCTTAAAAATCCTATACAGGGTTGCTATGAGTCAGAGTCAACTCAACAACACTTAACAAAAACAACAGACTGCATAGGAGGAACATCTATCCCAGTTTTATGTCAATATTATTAAGGCTTTTGGTAGAAGACATATGTAAGGAAAAATGAAAATTATTCCAGATAAAGGGAAGAAGCATATGCAGAGCCAGAGGTGAGGAAGATCACTGTGAAATGATAAGGAGTTTAAACTGACGACAACAAGAAGCCTGACTATACATTGCATCAAAAGAGGAGAGTAAGGGCAATAGCCAAGAGACCAGGCTGGATAACTTGGCAAGAACCAGAGTGATTTGTCTTTATTCCATGATAAAGAATTTGGGATTTAATACAAGGACAAAAGGAAACCAATGATCAAGTGAATTATCCAATTTAAAATGTCACCTGTCAAGCATTGCTGTTGCTAGCTGCAATCGAGTTGGCTCCAACTCACAGCGACCCTATGTACAACAGGAATGAAACACCGCTTTGGTCTTGTACTATTCTCACAATTGTTGTTATGCGTGAGAACACTGCTGTTGCCACTGTGGGTCTTCGTATTTTTTGCTGACTCTCTACTTCACCAAGCATGATGTCCATTTCCAGGGACTGGTCCCTGCTGATAACATGCCTGAAATATGAAAGACCAACATCCTGTCTTCTAACAAGCATTCTGGCTGTACTTCTTCTAATATAGACCTGTTTGTTCTTCTAGAAGTCTTCAATATTCTTCTCCAACACCTTAACTTTAATGCAGCCATTCTTCTACAGTCTACCTTATTAACTGTCTAGCTTTCACATGTATACAAGGTCATTTCTTTTCAGTACCATGACTCTGTGTATAGCTTCCATCTTCTTTTGATGCTTTTTGTATCATTCAATATTTTGCCCATGTTGTTATTGTTAGGTGCTGCCGAGATGGTTGTGACTCATAGTGACAAAACACTGCCCAGTCTTGTGCCATCCTCACAAATGTCATTACGCTGAGCCCACTGCTGCTGCCACTATGCCAGTCCATCTCGTTTTCCTCTTCTTCGCCAACCCTCCACTTTACCAAGCATGATGTCCTTCTCCAGGGACTGATTGATCCCTTCTGATAATGTATCCAAAATATAAGCAACAAAGTCTCACCATCCTAGCTTCTAAGAAATACTCCAGATGTACTTCTTCCAGAACACATTTATTTGTTCTTCTGGCAGTCCATGTTACTTTTAATATTCTTCTCCAACTCCATAACTCAAGTGCATCAACTCTTCTATAGTCTCTTCCTTATTCACTGTACAACTTTCACATGTTTATGAGGCTACTGAAAATACTTTGGCTTTGGTCAGGCACACCTTAGTACTCAAACTGATGTCTTTGCTCTTGAACATTTTAAAGAGTTCTTGTGAAGCAGATTTGCCTAATGCAAATTTGATTTCTTGATAGCTGCTTCTGTGAGTTTTGATACTAGATCCAAGCAAAGACTCTCTCTGGTAGCGTAGTGATTATGAATCAGACTGCAACCTCAAGGTCAGCAGTCCGAAACTATCAGTTGTTCCGCAGAAAAAAGATGTGAACTGTCTGCTCCTGTAAAGATTTACAGCCTCGGAAACCCTGTACAGGGTCGCTTTGAGTCAGAACTGACTCCACAGCACGTCACCACCACCAAGCAAAATGAAGTCTCTGACAACTTCAATCTTATCTCCACTTTTCATTATTGGTCCAGTGGGAAGTTCTTGTTGTTGTTGTTTTTTTAACAATGAGGTGCAACCCAATGGCTGTGGTCTTTGATCTTCATCAGCAAGTATTCTAAGTTCTCTTCACTTTCAACAAGTAAAATTATGTAATCTGCATATTGCAGGTTAATAAATCTTCCTCCAATCCTGATGCCACATTCTTCTTCATATAATCAAACTTCTCAGATTTTGCCTATAGTATCCTTCAATATTCTAACTCAAGACTTGAATTTTTACTTCAGTTCTTTCATCTTGAGAAATGCTGGACCTTTTGGTTTCCTAACTCCATCTTTGCCTATTTCATTATAATACTTGACTTTGTCTTCTTGAGCTGCCCTTTGAAATTTTCTATTCAGCTCTTTTAAATTCCTTTTCTTCCATCTTTTTTAGCATCTCTGCTGGAAGAACAAGGTGCTCTGGTAGCATAGTGGTTACAAGTCGGACTGCTAATCTCGAGATCAAGCAGTTCTAATCTACCAGCTGTTCTGAAGGAGAAAGATGAGGCTTTCTACTCCCATAAAGATTTACAGCCTCGGAAACCCTATGCAGGGACTCCACGGCACACAACCACCACCAGCACATCATGTTGGAAAACAAGCTTCATTGTCTCTTCTGACATCCATTTTGGTCTTTTCTTTCTTCCCTGTCTTCTTAGTGACCTTTTGCTTTCTTCTTGTATGATGTTCTTCATGTCATGCCACAAGTTTTCTAAGTCTTCAATCTGTCTAATACATGAAATCTGTTCTTGAAATGATCTCTAAATTCAGGTGGGATATGATCAAGGTCATATTTTGGCTCTTGTGGACTTGTCTGAATTTTCTTCAGCTTCAGCCTGAATTTGCATATGAGCAATTAATGGTCTGTTCCAGTCTGCCCTGGACTTGTTTTGGCTAATGATATGGAGCTTCTCCATGCTGTCTTTCCATAGATGTAGTGAATTTGACTTCTGTGTATTCCATCTGATGAGGTCTATGTGTATAGTCATCTTTTAAGTTGTTTAAAAAAGGTCTCTGCAACAAGTTAGTCATCGGTCTTCAATTTCAGAATGAAGAAGACAGAATTCTTTAATTTCATCATCATTGGCTTTAATTGTTGGTGTGTAAATTTGAAAAACGGTATTAACTGTTCCTCCTTGTTGTCGTTAGGTGCCACTGAGTCAGTACTGACCCATAGCAACCTTTCCTTGTAGGCATATCCATATTATCCTATCACAGAGAGCGCTGAACTTCAGAATAAATTTTGAAATGTTCTTTTTGATGATGATTGCTACACCATTCCTCTTGAATTTTTCATTGTCAGCATAGTAAACCATAGGACTGTCAGATTCAAAATGGTCAATACCAATCTGTTTCAGCTCACTCTATACCTAGGCTATTGTTCTTTATTTATGTTCCATTTTTTATAACTTCCAATTTTCTTAGATTCATACTTTGGATTCCTAATAGTCCCTGTTATTTCTTAGATTCATTAACAGTCCAGGTTCCAATTACTAATGGATGTTTGCAAACTGTCTTACTTCATTCTGAGTTGTGCCCATCAGTAAATGAAGGTTATGGAAGGAAGCGTTACTCCATTCATGTCATCACGGTCAACTCTACTTTGAGGAGGCAGCTCTTTCCTAGCTGTATTTTGAGTGCTTTCCAACCTCAGGGGCTCATTTTCCAACACTATATCTGACAATAATCTGGTGCCATTCATAACATTTTCATCTTCCAGCATTATGTCTGACAATGTTCCACTGCTATTCATAGGGTTTTTAGTTGCTAAACTTTTAGAAGTAGTCTGCTTTTCCTTTTTCCTGTCTGTCTTGTCTGGAAGCTCCGCTAAAACCTGTTCACCATGGGTGACCCTTTGTGTGTGTGTGTGTGTGTGTGTGTGTATGTGCCTTGGAGTCTGTTTGACTCACAGCAACCCTGTATAGCATTTCCGAGGCTGTAAATCTTTAAAGGAGCAGAAAGTCCACCTTTCTCCTGCTGACCATGAGATTAGCAGCCCAACTCGTAACCACTATGGTACCAGAGTTCTTTATGGGTGACCCTGCTGGTATTTAAAGTACCAAGAGTATAGCTTCCAGCATCACAACAACATGCAAGCCACCAGAGTACAATAAACTGACAGACAAGTGGTCATGTGAGAGCTCTCTGAGTTGTAATTGTTTGACTAGTACTAGAATAAATCTATCTGTTTGGCCTTTTATCACTACTGTAAACATCAAAACTGCTGATGCCTACATGTTCTAAGCATAATTTCAGTGTTCAGGCTGACAGTTCACATAGAAGGCAGAAGCTAAGGAAGAGTATAGCCAGAAATAAAACAAAAAGGGATCCACAAAACTTTAACATTTTAAAAAAAAATATGGAGCATGATTAAAGGTATTAGGAATAATTACAGTCTTCATCTAAATATGTATTCTATATTATCTTTCCTTACATGTATATAAAAGAATATTCAATATAGCATCTATTATCCAAACAATGAAGGGACACCATTTATCATTTACAACTTAATTAATCAACATCTAAATTTAATTAATAATTTTTGCCAACATACCTTCTTCTAGTTCTCTAGTTATATTTTTTTCCAACTCCTGCTGCATCTGAAATAAGTCAAATATTATTTATAATGTTTACATTAAATAACAGACAACTAGCAATAATATATATCTTTATAAAATGTGGTAATAATTTAAATAATGCTTTAGAGGCTAATCTAACTTGGAAATTGATTAAATAATACTTGCAAATTAAGTAAATGTCCCACTTATCTTCATTTTCAAAAAGAGAGAAAACTATACAAAATATTGCTTGAATTAATATGATAAAAATCCAAATACTGGCTTATTAAATATGCATTGTTTTACAAGAATGATGTTTAATATTATTGGCACAAAGATTAAATTATACAAGTCATATTTTACACCAAACACATTATTTGCAATTCCTAACAAAACACAGCCTTTTATAAAAATTAAATCAGTTTTTAAAATAGATTTCTCCTTAAAAAGAAAATGAACTTTTCCATACTTTTAGAAATTAAAATCTTAAAGTATGTCTGTGCCATTAATTTTTCAGCAGTCTTAAGCACATAAAATGAAGAAAGAGACACTGTCTTAATGTCACATGAAAATTCTACTACAAAAGATATAGTGAAAATATTATGAAATCTATATTTTGGCTGTCACACTTTATTCAATTGAATACAAAAATTACAAAAAAATTTCTTGAAGGAAAGAAAAGCAGAGGTTAGAATCGATTTTCAAATTTAGGTTCTCTGATTCATGACTTTCTAGTATTGCAAACAAATATATGTGGGACCTTCAAAAAGTCTGTCAAATTTTTTCATTACCTTTTAATTTAATTTTTCATGAACCTTTTAAAATATGATTGAGCATGTATGTGTATATTGTTGTTGTTATGTGCCGTGAAGTCGGTTCCGACTCATAGAGACCCAACACAGGGTTTCAGAGGCTGTAAATCTTTACAGGAGCAGAAAAAAAAAATACATACATACATATATATATGTATGTATGTATATATATATATATATATGTATGTATGTATATATATACATACATACATACATACGTATAAGGAGCTCTGGTTACAAATCGGGCTGCTAACCTCAAGATCGGCAGTTTGAAACTACCAGCTATTTCGCGGGAGAAAGATGAGGCTTTCTGCTCCCGTAAAGATTTACAGCCTTGGAAACCCTGTACAGGGTTGCTATGAGTAGGAACTGACTCCATGGTACTTAACCACAACAACGTACATATGTATCCATATTTTATTGTTGTTATTTGGTGCAACTGAGTCAGTTCTGAGTCACAGCAATTCTACATACGAGAAGGAAACACTGCCCAGTTCTGCGCCATCCTTACCACCCTCGCTATGTTTGAGCTCACTGTTGCAACCACTCACTGTGTCAACCCAACTCGTTGAAGGTCTTCTTTGTTTTACTGACCCTCTATTTTACCAAGTATGATGTCTTTCTCCAGGAAGAACTGTCCCTCCTGATAACATGTTCAAAGTATATGAAACAAAGTTTTGTCATCCTTGTGTTTAAAGAGCATTCTGACTGTACTCCTTCCAAGACTGATTTGTTTGTTATTCTAGAAGTCCATGACATAGTCTATATTCTTTGCCAACACCATAATTCAAAGGAAATTTATGTAATGGATGAATCTGGGAGAAGGAACTGAGAGTGCTTGTTTGGCTGTGCATCTTGTGAACGCTCTTTTTTTAAAAAGATGTGTCTGCCCCCAGTAACAAATTCAGGTCTGTTTTCAACTATGTAATAAGTAGCCTGCCTCTGAGAAAACAGTTGTTTCCTCTGCCTACAACTGTGCCTAACTTGGGATGAAGTATCAGCAAGCCTATTGTGGCTGCACATTTAAGCCACATCCCTCTCCTCAGTTATTATGTGTGAGTAATAAAGCTAAGACTCTATTCTTCTACAATCTTCTTTATTCATTATTGACTTTCACTTGCATATGGGGCAATCGCAAAGACCATGGCTTGGGTCAGGTATACCTTAGACTTCAAATATCTTTGCTCTTAAACACTTTAAAGAAGGCTTGTGCATCAGATTTGCCTAATGCAATAAATACATCATTTGATTTCCTGACTGCTGCTTCCATGAGTGTTGACTTGTAGATCCAAACAAAATGAAGTCTTTGGTAACTTAAATCTCTTCTTCATTTATCATGATGTTTATTGGGCCAGTCGTGAGGATTTTTGTTTTCTTTACTTTGAGGTGTAATCCATACTGAAGGTTACTGTCTTTGATTTTCATCAGTAAGTAGTTTAGGTCCTCTTCACTTTCAGCAAGCAAGGTTGTTTCACCTATATCACAGGTTGTTAATGAGTCTTCCTCCAATTCTGATGCCACATTCTTCATATAATCCAGCTTCTCAGATTATTTGCTCAGCAGACATATTGAACAAGTATGGTGTAAAGATGAAACCCTGGTACATACCTTTCCTGATTTTAAGCCATTCAGTATCTCCTTGTTTTATTCTAACAACTGCCTCTCAGTCTATGTGCACGTTCTTCTTGAGCAAAATTCAGTGTTCCGGAATACCATTCTCCACGATGTTATCGATAGCTTGTCATGATCCACATAATCAAAAGCTTTTACTTAGTCAATAAAGTACAAGTAAACATCTTTCTAGTATTCTCTGCTTTTTAGCAAGATCCATCTGCCATCAGCAATGTTATCCCTCATTCCACATCCTCTTCTGAATCCAGCTTGAATTTCTGGCAGCTCCTTGTTGATATATTGTTGCAACCATTTTTTAAATTCTCTTCAGCAAAATTTTACTTGCATGTGATATTAATGATATTGTTCAATGATTTCCACATTTCATTGGGTCACCACTCTTTGGAATTAGCACAAATATGAGTATTTTCCAATCAGTTGGACAGATAGCTAGCTGTCTTTCAAATTTCCTGACATAGACCTCCAACGTTGCATCCGTTTGTTGAAACATTTCTATTTGCAATCCATCAATTCCTGGAGCCCTATTTTTCACAAATGCCTTCGATGCAGCATGCACTTCTTACTTCAGTATCAACAGTCCTTGATTGTATGTTACCTTTTGAAATGGTTGAAAATAGACCATTTCTTTTTGGTTCCGTGACTGTATATTCGTTCTGCATCATTCAATATTTTGTTCTTAGAATCCTTCAATATTGCAAGTTGAGGCTTGAGTTTTTCTCCAGTTCTTTCATCTTGAGAAATGCTGAGCATGCCTTTTGGTTTTCGAACTCCAGGTCTTTGCACATTTCATTATAATACTTGATTATGTCTTTTTGTGCTGCCCTTTGAAATATTCTGTTCAGCTGTTTTACTTCATTATTTCTTCAATTTGTTTCAATTTCTGTAAGCTCAACAGCAAGTTTCGGAGTCTCTTTTGGGATGCATTTTGGTCTTTGCTTTCTTTACTGTCTTGTTAATGACCTTTTGCTTTCTTCCTGTATGATGTTCTTGATGTCATCCCACAGCTCTTCTGGTCTTTGGTCATGAGTATCTAATATGTCAAATCTGTTCTTGAGGTGGTCTCTAAATTCAGCTGGTATATATTCAATGTTATATTTTGGCTAAGTGGACTTGTTTTAATTTTGTTCAGAACTATGGTGTTGTTGTTGTTAAGTGCCATGGAGTCAGGTCTGTCTCAAAGGACTCTGGTATAGGGTTTCTGAGACTATAAATCTTTGCGGGAACAGTAAGTCTCATCTGGATAGCGTCTGGTGAGCTCAAACCACCTACTTTGTGGTTTTGCAATCCGGTGCTTATCCTACAGAATCACTACACTCCCTTAGAACTACCAGATGACCCAGCGTTTCCAACCCAATGCACATCCTCAGAAGAGAAGACAAGACTGCACCAGAAATCTGCATTCCCTATGCAGCACTTTTCACAACAGTCAAATGGGCAAAGATGGAAGCCCCCAAACTATCCATCAGCAACAGGTTCAAATACACAAAATGTGGTAAAATACACATAATGGGATTACTGCTCAGCCGTAAAGAGAAATGAAGTCCTGATACATGTTGCAAGATGGAGGACCTTGAAAGCATTATGTAGCTGAAAAGACGTCAAATGCCAAAGGACAAATACTGTATGATCCCACTTATATAAGCAAATATCTAGAAGTCACAGTTAAAATTTAGGATAGATAAGCTTTGCCTTGGTGATATAAATAGGGAGACTATTTTTCGTTTGGAACAAATGTGACTCAATAGATTCTGTGGAGATACAATGTTCTAGCATGTAAAAAGTTAACATCTTATGAATATTGTTTTAGTTTTCAGATATTTCTATGATAATCTTTAGAAAAATTTTGCTAAATTAAATGGACATTTGGGAAATAGAAATATTACTTAAATAACCTGAAACATTTTGAAAGTGGAAGTATTGTAGTGTGTCACCGAGTCAGTTCCAACTCATAGTGACCCTGCACAGGTTTCCAAGAGTGGCCTCTTGAAAGTGTCAGTAATGTTCCAAAAATCCAAAATCAATATACAATAAATACTATTGAGTATTGTATGGCACACATTTACTAAATGTAGGATATGAACACAGGTACCAAAAAAGTCTTGGAACAGAAAATTGTTTTAAATTAACGATATATTTTATAAATTTTTTAAGTCTGAATTCTTAAAAAATATTTTTTTTTTTGGAGAAAAGAGTTCTATGTACTATAAAATCAAGTAGTGATATATCTTATAATAATGCATCACTGAATTAGGAAACAGTAAAACTAAAATTACTTCTGATATATAGGACAAAAAAAAACGCTCATTCACTGGACAGTGAAACTAAAGTGTGAACTGTGAAACTGAAAATTAGCAAAGTGCATATCAGTGGTCTATTAGCACAACAATGGTGTCAAGAGGCAAAGTTAAAGTTCATGCAATGGTGAGAGATGTAACAACCATTAAATGTTAAGTACATGGAAAAATAGGACTTACTGTTTTCCTTAAAGTAAGACATTCAGAAACTTGAAAACATTTTGTGAAACGTCTGTCTCTTTCTTACACAGATAATTATTAATTTTCCCTTAATATGCACGTCAATTAAACAGTTCAGTATTTCACACCAAACTACTAAAACCTAATGAAAAAAATATAACACACCTTAGTCAAGTAGGTTTCCATGCTGTTATTTGAAGGCTGTGGGCTTGAGGTAGGAATTGCTAATTTTTCTCTGGGCATAAGATTTCTATTGAGCACTAAACTGTTATTAACATTTCCAACACAAGGCGGCTCCAGGACTGGTCTCATTGTGAGAGTGCTAAGCAAAGATCTATTCTGTTGTTTCTCCACAAGAAGTTTGGTACTGATCTCTGCTAGCCTCTCATTAGTTCTGTGAAGATTACAAAAGACAAATGAGTATTGGTATTTCATTATTCCCTAAATGATTCCTATATCAAGTGCAGTTTTAGAAAATATTGCCATACTAGTCAATGGAATTTCACATTAAACAGTGTTTTAACACTGATAACCTGTCAGAACTTGTCTCCCACATACAATTACAGGTTTAAAATTATTTTAAAGAAGTACACTTATTTGCAGGGGGAATTCCAATGAACAAGTAACTCAAACAAAGTAGGAAGGGGAGAGAAATAGCTTGTAGTGTTGAAATGGTCTAAAAGGTAACATTTGCCAACTTCTGGAATGGCTTTACTTACAAGATATTTAAGATGCCATTAGAAATACTTGTACTTAGTTAGTCAGTTCATTTACCCATTAACTCAGAGAAATTAAGTACTTGACATTTAGGAACAATTCAGAGCAACAACCTCTAAGGAAGAACGAGATAGTGGAATAGGTGTTTACAAAGATTAAAAAGAGTTCAAAATGGCAATTAGTTCAAAAAACATCAGAGGTGGAACCTACCCTTTCTATCTTCTACACACTCTCTCAGACAGATCAAGCTATTACTTTATCCACTTTGTGAATTAGACGTCCCTTCAACTCAGAAAAACCCCTCAAACTTACTGCCATCAAATTGATTTTGACTCATAGTTACCCGGTATAGAGTTTCCAAAACTGCACATCTTTATGGAGGCAAAAGCCTCATCTGTCTCTTGCGGACCTTGCAGTTAGCAGTCCAGTGATCACCCTATAACATCATACCAAAATGCCTATAATTTCCTTCACATCTGTGTTAATGTTTCACATATATGCCTTTATATAGAGAAGAAAACAGTAAAGGATGGTCTCAGTGCGCCGTCTACTGTTAGTAAAAGTTAAAAAAAATTAATTGACAAAGTGCCATCCATGCAGGATGTGCCAAGGTGGCTATTGTCAGCAGTGAGCACTTGGCTCCTAACTGATAGGTCAGCAGTTTGAACCCACCACTCACTCCCATGAGAAAGATGTGGCAGTCTACTTCCAAAAACATTATAGTTGGAAACCCTGTGGGGCAGTTCTACTCTGATAGCAATGGATTTGGGTTTTGGATGGGTTGTTGTTAGGTGCCATTGAGTTGATTCTGACTCATAGCAACCTCATCTGACAGAGAAGAACTGCCCCATGAGTTACTGGCTTTTGCTTTTTTTTTTTTTTTTTTTTAATGAAAGCAGACTGTTAGGTCTTTCTTCCGTGGAGTCACTGGGGAGGTTCAAACCACCAACCTTCAGTTAGAAGCCAAGCACTTAACCATTTTTGCCACCAGGATTCATATTCCAAAAAATAGTTCAATTCCTTACTATTTCTTAGGGAATGCTGACAGCAATTTTGCAATCTAAAACTTGTATAAAGTTTCAAAACCAATTAGCTTTAAACTAATGGATCAGATTTACTATATGAGAATATTAAAGAAAAAAATAATAAAACCATGTAAAACTAAAAAAGGAGGCAAACTGTCCCAGACTAACATTTTTAAATTTATTCACTAACATTATTTTCCAAAACTATATTGTCTAACTAGCTTTCATTTCTTACTAACCTCATGAACCTGATTCACTAAAAATTATCCTTTGTTGTTGTTAAGTAATACCGAGTAGGTCCTGACTCATAGAAATCCCAGAAAGGGTTTTCAATGACTCATCTTTCTCCCACAGAGCAGTTAGCAGGCTCAAGCCAAGGACCTTGTAATTCACAGTCCAGTGCTTAGGGTATGGAGCCACTATACTCTCAAAAATAATGCTTGAGAAGCATATTAATGAATTAAATTTATTTTTCATGGTTCTGTTATTTTGACTTACTTGTTTAATTTATTTGACAATGCTCTTCGAACTTTTAATTCTTCTAAATAGAGTTGCTTATATTTTTCCAATTCTGTTTTATTAGAATCTTCTTGGGAAACTTTCATTTTAGAGAGTTCAGATTCTAGATCTTTAATTCTGAGTTCCATTTGACTTCTGATTGAAGCATTGTTATTCTCTCTTAACTGCTCCAAGTTTTCATGAGAAGCTGCTTGAGTCTAAAACAAATGAAAAGGATACATTAAAAAATAATTGTAACATGAATAATTATAATTTATTTGTTTCCTTTAGTTCTTAGTCAGTGATTCCTAGAACACTTTAAATATGTAAAAATGGAAGGTAAGGTTTAAAATATTTATCATCAATATCGACTGAGTTAAATCTAAATTATAAAATATGTTGAATCATTCTTATACTATTACTCATATAATCTGATAATTCAGAGAATAACAGTATCAATTTTTTAAATGGAATATAAATTTAAGAATAAACCAAAGAGAAGAACATGAGAGGAAGGAGGGATCCTGACCAGAAACGCAGCGCTAACAGAGATGATGGCGGAGGCGATGGCACAGAGAGACAGAGCAGCAGAGGACCCAAGGCCCATGGACTGAGTAAAGCAGTGTGCCTGTGGGCAGGAGGCTGGCTTGCAAAATGTGCCCTTTGGACATTTAAATGAATATATATTTACAATATGGTATGTGTACATCAAAAAAAAAAAAAAATGCAATAGGGGTAAATACTGTTGGCTAAGGGTGCATGGAGGGGACTGTAATCATTACAATGATTCGCTGAATGTAAAAATGGTGATCTGCCCTGTAAGCCTTCACTTACTCAATACACAATAAAAGCTTTGAAAAAGAAAAAAGAATACGGTGCATTTTTTACATCCTAAGCTTTTTTCTTTTCCTCCTAGTAGTCTTGTTTTACGGCAACTAGTCTTAATAATAGGCACCCTGGTGGCATAGTAGGGTTACATGTTGGGCTGATAACCATAAGGTCAGTTGTTCAAATCCACCAACCATTTTATGTGAAAACGATGAGGCTTTCTGTTTCCAGAAAGATTTACAGCCTCAGAAATCCTACACAGGCTCACAATGAGTTAGAACCAACTCCACGGCACACAATCACCACTACCAACAGTCTTAATAATCAAGTGATTCTCTAGTGAGAATCATTATTTTCAAATATCAATTTAGTAATGATAATGACCAAAAAATGCTTTATTGAAAGGGAAAAACAAACTGTCACCTTTTTACAAAACAAATTGCTGAAAGGGAAGTAAAGGAAACACATACAGTATATATTCAATATATAATTTGCAATCTAACAAATTAAAGCACATAACAGATAAATAAGTTAACCTGTAGAAACAGATTGACTTCTTTTAGCTTTTCTACTATGTCCTGCCTTGCTCTTTCTTCAATCTCCCGTTTATACTGTTCTATTTGACCGTGGTCTAACATATTTATCTCTAGATGACTTTTGAGGTTTACTACTTCTTGTTCCAACTTCTTTTTATTCTTCTCTAGTTTTTCACATTTCTTTTGTACTGCTTTCATAGCTAATAACTCCTGTCGAAGAGCTTGATTTTTTGCATCCAGATGTAGACATTTTGAAGATGAAGTTTCTAGTTTTGCTGTAAGATCATCAATCTGCATGAATAAAATAATATAGTTTGGTAATAAAGGAAATAAGCTGAGAATCATCTAACTCAATGCCAATATCAAATCTTTAAACAAATTCATTGCAATAAAATGTTCTCTGTACTATAACAGATTCTTAGAATGTGAATGTTAGAATTACTCAGAAAATCAACAAAATTAAAACCAAAAGGAATCACAAAAATCTATTAGCTTTCATCATCTTTGCCACATAATTTCTGCACTTGATTTTGTATTTGTATTTTTCTATGATCATTTCCTGTCTTCCTCCTCCCCAGTATCCCTTCCCACATCTATTGTAATATAGGAGAAGAGATAGACTGGCCCTACTGAGTGTTACCTAAACTGCAAATTCCTAAGCAAAAGAAATGCTGCTTTGAGACACAAAGTTCTGAGTTGGCTTGTTATTGTAACTGGCACTAATACTAAGGCAATGATGTTGCCATTAAAAGAAAAAAAGGACCAGGAGATAGGCAGAAGCTGGAAAGACCTAGAGAAAAGTATGACTGAAAGTCAAAAGGGTCTCAAACATACGGCTAGTAGAAGCCTGATGGTCCCCAGAGAGGCTGACAGCAAGGGCTTAATGGCAAGTCAAAAAAAGGACTATTAAGGAGACTCTCGCCACATAGTCACTGAAAGTAAAATATTAGAGGCAAGAGATCATTTGAAGAAAGGTTGTTAAATATAAAGGAACTAGGACTTACCAAGTTGAACTATTTGTTTCTCATTCACAGCTTCTCTACATGTCAAATCAAGTTAAATTAAGAAAATGGTTTCTAGCTAAGATCAAATCCAGGGTTCTGTCAGAAAAATACAGTCTAAAGATGAAGTCATGACCATGTCTGTAAACTCCATTATTAGCACCTTAGAAAGATTTAAGGTGGCATCTCAAATTCATCAAAGATCTAAAGGATGAAAGAATCTTAAAAGCGTTGTCTTATAACAGTTTCACAGAAAGCCCAAAATGGCAAAGAAATTATCTCAATACTTTGTGAGAGTGGCTTTTCTAATGAAATGAACTCCAATAAAGTTCACAGGAACCTCACAAAGTCTTAGAGGGAACTGTAGTTGTAGAAACACTGCTTGCTATCGTGGACTAACAGAAATCAAAACAGTACAAAACAAAACGAGGCCTTCAGACTTTTTCAGTTCTAGAGAGGAAAGCAGACAGAGAAAATTACTCAGTTGCAAAAACAGGTCATTTCTGCTGAAAAGAAGAGCAGTAACAACCAGCACAGGCTGTATAGCAAAGAGCCATGAGAATCATTCTCATAATTGTTATTGTTAAATTCTGTCAAGCTGTTTCCAACTCATAACGACCCTGTATCGGGTTTCCAATGAGCCAACCTTGCTGTTCAAACTGACCTTGTAGTCCAGTGCTTATCTTACAGCACAACGCCAGGACTCCTGTCTTCATGATTAGGATTACTGTATTTTTACAAAAATAACGTGTACCTTCTAAGTTTGTTTGCCAACTGTTCCCTCCTTCTGGGAGGTATTTTTATAAATGTGCTATGCCAATTTTTTTTATAGCAACATGTTTTTTTAAAAATTGGCATTAACGGTGCTTATGAAAATGCCTCCTGTAGGGAGGGAGCAGTTGACAAACAAATGTAGAAGATACGTGTTATTTGTGTAAAAATATGATCTGTATCAAAGAGCTGGCAGCATCAGAATTCCTACGGCATTATAATTTTTACACTTCTCAGTTACATAGCCAATGTTAATATCCTCTGGACATTTAAGAAATTATATACAATTTCTCCTTTATTTCCAGGTTACTTGTATAGAAAGATACGACTACCTTCATCTTTATGCTGTAACACAATACTGCTCCATATCACAGAGATTAGCTTAGAAATTTTGAAACTCATATTACTAACTTGTCTGTTATCTGACAGTACCAAATTGCTTACATACGATCTGATTTTTAAGGGCTATACTCTTGAAAATTGTCTTTGAATGGATTAAAATATATCCTCTGTAAATTATTCACTGAGAAATAAAATATTCCTTTCTATGTATTTAAGTAGAGCAATATGGATACGGGGAACTGTGATTTTGAGAATGTAGATCTGTGCCACGAGGATCAGCGAGCACCAGTGTTACGACACAAGAACCAAGTCAAAGAGCATCTAATTGTGAATTACAAGATGACAGATTCGCTAGATTTCTAAAGTAGAAAGCTGAAAGCCCAGATGTAATCTTCTCTATCCTTAGCGGTGAAATTTATAGATTCTATGTAATATATTGACTTAATAATAAGTATAAGGGAGTATAAAGGGACTTTAAAAGTTCATAGAAAAATGGAATTAAATGACAATGGTGTATTTCCACCAACTTTTTGAAGACTTCTCGTAAATACTAGACTGAGTCAGCAGATCTTAGGACCAAGATTTGATAGACTCAAAGTGAGAAACGAACTGCTTGAATGGAGACAAGACAAAGAAGGGACTCCATCTTCCCATCATCATGGAGCCAGTGGAGCATAAACTGGCCATAGGCTCCTTCAAGAAGCAAAACATTTTCACAGGAGTCCAGTTAAAGACAGTCCACCAGACACTGACTGTTTATTATTCCATTCCTGGTAACATACAGGATGACAGAGTATCTGTTTCTATAACATTTTATTTGAACTAGCATAAGGATGCATATGTTGTTGTTAAGTGTCACCGAGTCAGTTCTGACTCACAGCAACCCTGTATAGGGTTTCTGAGAAGCAACTGGTGAGACTGAACTGCTGACCTTGCGGTTCAAACCACCTTTGCAGTCTAGCACATTAACGAAGAGTGCTACTCCATAACTCCAAAGATACATATTGTTGTTGTTGTTATGTGCCATGGAGTCGGTTCTGACTCATAGCAACCTTGTACAGGGTTTCCAAGGCTGTAAATCTTATCTTTACAGGAGCAGAAAGACTCATCTTTCTCCCGTAGAACAGCTGGTAGTTTTGAATTGATGACCGTGGGAGTAGCAGCCCAATTCGTAACCACTATGCTACCAAAGCTCCTTCAGGATACATATAGGTTAATGGAAAAGAACTGTGGACCCAGAAATAAATCCTCACATTTATAGCCAACAATGACAACAAAACTTTTCAATAAACAATGCTAAAGTCACATACAAAACATTCATATATTCACATATAAAAGAATTAAGCTAAATCCTTACCTCACACTACATATAAACATATGAGCTAAAACTACAGAACTTAAAAGAAAACAAAGGTGTAAATCTTCATGACTTTGGATTTGGCAATGGGTTCTGAACCATACCACCATATTTGAAAGTTACCAAAGCAAAAACATAAATACAGAACATCATAAAAATTGTTTAATTTTGTGCTTCAAAGGATACTAAAGAAAATGAAAAATCAAGCCACTGACTTAAAGAAAATATTTGCAAATCATGTATCTGATGTTGTTGTTGTTAAGTGCTGTCGAGTCGATTCCGACTCATAGTGTCCCTGTATAGGGTTTCCAAGGAGCAGATTGTGGGTCTGAACTGCTGACCTTATAATTAGTAGTCCAGTGCTTGTCCTACAGCACCACACCATGATTCTAGATATCCTGATAGGGAATTTGACATCTAGGATATATAAAGAACTCTTACAACTCAATAATAAAAAGATAACCCAACAGGCAACTGATATGAATAGACATGTTCCCCAAGAGGGTATACGTAAGGCCAATAAGTACCTGGAAAGCTTTCAACATTATTAGTCATCAGCAAAATGTAAATCTAAACCACAATGAGATGCCACATAGGAATATTTTGAAAAGAAATAATGTCTATTAAGATGGTTATAATAATAAATAAGACATAATAACAAGTATTTGCGAGGATCTGCAGAAATTGAAAACTTCACAGATTGCTAGTGGAAATATAAAAAGGTAGAGCGACTTTGCAAAACAGCCTGGCGATTCCTGAAAATGTTAGACATAGTTACTCTGACTCAGAAATTCTAATTCTAAGTATATACCCAAGAGAAAGGAAAGCCCGAGTTCACACAAAAACTCGTACATGAAGTTTCACAATAGGAGTCTTCATAATACCCTAAAAGTGGAAATAACCCAAACGTCTATTAATCAATTAATGGTTAAGTAAAATAAAGCATGTATATCCATAGAAAGGAATACTATTGGACAATAAAAAGAAACGAAATATCTCTTCACTCTATAAATGAATGTATCATCAAAACAGTAAGCTAAGTGAAAGAAGCCAGACATTAAGAACCACAGATCATTGTATAATTCTGTTCTATGAAATGTCCAGAAATAGAGACAAATCTATGACCTCAGAGACAAAGAGTGTAGGTATTGTCAAGGTTCAGAGCAGAGGAGAGGGAAGACTGGGGGATGTAGCTAAAGAGTATGGGGTTTCATTATGGGATGATGAAAATGTTCTAAAATTTACTGTGGTGAAAATTGTATAACTTTGTTAATATATGAAAAGTCACTGAGTTACACACTTCAAATGGGTGAACTGTACGATATGATAATTATATCTCAATAAAGCTGTTACAAAAAACATATATATTTAATTCAGTGCTAGTGATTTGGGGTCTTATACTGGTGAACTGCTTAACTTTAGACTACAAGCCAGGGTCAGGACATAAAAGAATAAGCAGTATGCCCTATTTATAGAAAAATTATATATCAAAAAGCTTTCTTTTTCATTGGTATCAAGTACATAAAATTACTGGAAAAAAACATAATTTCACTGTTCAAAACACTAAGTCATTTATATTTCCCAAACTTGAGTGATTTTGGTCCCAAAACTTTTTAAAGATTACCTTATGTTTTAGCATGGCCATCTGAATATCCATTTCAATTTGATTCGTTTTTAAATCTCCATGGAAACTAAGCTCTCCATTTTCATATTCACTTAACTTCTTTTTTGTCAGTTTTAACAGTTTCTTAAATCTGCAGGGATGCACATAATGAGTAAATCAAGTTCCCAAAGAATAAATATTTAATATTTAAACAGATATTCTGTTCTACCATTTATGAGAAAAATCTATTTATAAGGATCTTCTCTCATTTGTTTCAAGCTAGTACTGTTTGAAAATATATTACCTAAAGTCCTACGTAAATAAAACTGTTACAATAACACTTATATGACATATTCAATGGTAGGTTAGGGGTTAATATACCTATAAAGAGTTCTTATACCCCCCTCTAAGACTGAAACTCAAAGGGAACACATGAGCAGGCATGTAAGCTTGCTGATGACCACATTGGTCTACTGGTGAGTGGAAGAGGGGGAAAGGCAGCAATGAAGAAATGGGCTGAGCTCAACCACGGTCCATTGACTCCTGTGGACCTGGAAGTGAGAAAAAGAAGAGGAAGGGCTGGTTGGCCCAAAGTGTGTTCAGACCTGGGGACACTTGGGCCCATGGACAAGGACATAGCCACAGAGGGCTAGAGCTGAGAGTGAAGCATCCAGCTGATATGAAGTGAGGGGAGATGCACAAGAACACCCAAACTTGCAAATAGTACCCATTTGACTTAGCCTCAACGGCTTGATAATCAGAACTAGAGGAAAATAAAAAATAAAAATAAATTTTTGATAAAGGAAATGAGAATATTGTTGCTACAATTTGATGAACCTGACTTACACTCATGGAGGTAGTAACTTTAAATGCCAACAGAGAGGGAAGGAGTTTTCACATCAAGTATCAATGCTATCCCCCCTTGGTATACATATAGGGACAGGCAACTTAGACACTGGCTACCTAAAATGAGGGGGCGATAAAGGCATGAAGTGACTGGCTTACAGGTTTCAAGAGGGAGTTTTAAGAGTGTGTGGAAGAAGATAGAGTCCCCACTGAATAGTTTTCATCTTGTCTAGATGGGTCTGATAAAAAGAGATGGGGATAAGATTCTTATGATTCAATAGTGAGTAATCGTTATCATGACTAATTGCGACTGTCACAATTGTAAAGGGAGAAGTTTGTAACAAAAACGGGGTAGTAGTTAATCTTACAGTCCAGAAACAGAGGACCTTAGGACCATCAAGGGAGAGAAACACAAGCGGAACATGGGATCTTATCCAGAGAAGCAGCGACACCAGAGATAGAGGCAGAAATGGGGGCATGGAGAGAGGGAGCAGCTGAGGACTCTGGATTCATGGAAAGAGAAGGACTAAGAGATGGCAGCCAGGAGGCAGGCTTGCAGAATGTGCCCTTTGGTGGTTTAAATTATTATATGTACCTAAGTGTTTGAAAAAAAAAAAGTGGGAGGAGCTAACATGAATAGAGAGAAATACTGTTAATTGATGGTACATGAAGGGGATTATAATCATTGCAATGATACAAAGTATATGATTTGTTGAATGTAAAACTGATGATCTGCCCTGTAAACTTTCACTCAATTCACAATCAAAGCTTTAAAAAAACAAATAAATAAAGAGCATTTAGGTTGTTAAAAAAAAAAAAGACTTCTTATAAATAATTAATATCCATTTTAGTATGTTAATATAAAACATTAAGCTATTATTAAATACTAGTTACTACGCATGGAAGAAAGATGAGGCTTTCTGCTCCTACGAAGAATTCAAGTCTCAGAAATTCATATAGGGTCAGAACCAACCTAATGGTACTCAACAACAACAACAAGCTAATACACAGGGATCAGTCTCTAAGGTTAAGAAGAAAAGCATACTTATACATAAATGTTTTGAAGACATAAAAAAAACACAAAAACCTGTTACCCAAAGATTGCAAAAAGAGGTGAAGTACATGCAAAAACATTAAGGAGATTACTGAGATTAGAAAAAGAAAAAGGAAAAAAGGAAAGAGAGCTTTAGAAGAAAGGAAATCAGCAGAAAGATAATGTGTTAAGAGATTTAAAATCTTTGCTAGTATAACATCAACAAAATGAAAAAGTTGCAAAACAATGCAGAGAAAGAATGAAATGAGGAAAAACACTGATCAGATTTGAGAACAAATGTAAAGACTCAGCAAATAAACAAAGGAAGTCATGTTGGGTGTTTCAAAAACATTAGGGATATTCCTTTATTTTTCACCTGGGTGGCAGAAACATGAAGGTTCATTTTACTCTTACGTGTAAACTTCTATGTAAAATATAAGTTACATATATTTTCATATGCCTATATATTTTATACATTGAAAAGGAGACAGAAAAGGAATTAAAAGACAAATCAAGGTAATTTTAGCTGCTGTTAAAGAATGACACAGATGAGTTTTTAGATATTAAAATATTTGAATGATGAGGGATAGAAACTACTAAAAGAAAGATAACTGAGGACAGCCAAGATCTCTTGCAGAAATCAAAATTCAAGGTAGATGATGAAGAGTACATTGACATTATATGCAAAACGCATTCAAAAAAGTTTCAGATTATGATGTGAGTTTGTGAAGCAAATATATAAATACAGTAACTGGTTGAATTATGAAGACGTAAGTATAAATCCAATTTGTAATTAGGTTCTAATAAAGTAAAGTTAGTGCTAAGTTGATAATTTAATAAATATGTACAGAAATTATGTGAAATATTAAAACCTTACCCAATATGTCATGAATGTCACTAAATAAAATGTACATGAATTACTGAACAGAAAAACAAATGTAAACTTTCACCCAAATCATAATAAAATGTTTTAAAAAAGAAAAGAAAAAGACTTACCCACTAATTTCTTTTTCTAATATACCATTTTTCTTCATTTCTTGGTCCAAACGATATTCCAGAGATTGTTTTAATTCAGTAAGTTTTTTTAATTGTTCCTTTTCATCTTCAGACTTAAAAAAAAAAAAATTTAAACAGATTTACTCTTCTTTTCAAAAGAATTATTTTTCATGAGCTCATGAGTCATATGTGTTCAGACAAGACGTTCTTGAGTAGTGCAAATGGTTACAGGCTCAACTACAAGCTGAAAGGTTGGCATTTCAAACCCACCCAAAGATACCTTGAAAAACAGGCCTGGTGATCTTCTGAAGTCACAACCTTGAAAACTCTATGGAGCCGTTCTACTCTTGCATATAGGATCGCTATGAGTTGGAACTGACTTGGCAGCAACTAATAACAACAGGCCAAACTATTCTTAAATACCACTAATGGATCAATAATTTTTCAGTATGACAGATATCATGAGGCTGACTTACCAAACTTATACCTAATAGGTTTTTCTGAAGGTGTTCCATTTTGTCCGCTTGCTTTTTTATTGTACCTTTCAACTCTGAATTTTCAATTTCAAGCCTAAAATGTATATTTTAAATTAATTATTCTTATACATAGATGTTAAAATATCACATAATTTCTAAACAAACATAGGAAGGCATAATTACATAAATTCTTTAAAAACTGAAAAGGAAAAAGGAAACAGAGGTAAGCGGTGCTATATACACAACCCTGGAACAAGTGTTCTGTGGGTAGATACCGGGACAGATACACAGGCTGAATGGGCATGCGAGAGAGAGTAGGAATGTGCCCATAAATATATAAGGGTATGGAAGAGAATATTAGCACATGGATATTTACCTTGGGTACAAACATAACTATGGATGTGGTGGAACATACAGGGGACAAAATGATGAAAATTTCCTAGATATTATCAAACATCTTAAGGCAATGAGTTCCTGGGCCTAGGGGCTCAGGACCATAGTCTCAAGGGACACCACAGTCAACTGGCATAACATAGTCCAAAAAGACAATATTCCACAATCTACTTCGGTGACTAGCGTCCGGGATCTTAAAAACTCATAAGCATCAACT